ATCCAACGTCGACGTGCACATTCAAAGAATGGTACACGTTGACCGCTCTTCGAATCAACCATGTGACCCGAATTTTTGTCAATTAACGGCTTTTCCAGCGCCACCTCAAATGGTTCGTACACATTTTGACTTAAATCTTTTACATAAATATTCGATGGATCGAATAAATTTAAATCGTAAATAAATGAATAGAATGGAATTCGTTCTTGTGTATCGGGATTGACAAATGATTCGGTTTCTTTGTCGAAAACACCGTAAAGTTCAAGTTGTTCCGGTGTAAGGGTTTCATTTATACGAAGTTGCGGTGCTGCCGTTTCAATGGTTACCGTTGACGTTGTTGGCTCAAACACTTCTGGGTATTGAACACTTTCTGATTGAATTAATTTTACTGTTTCAACAACAATATTCTTTGTGCCAACAATGCCCTCGGAAATGATTGGTTTTTGGGGCTCTTCAACTTCACCACCACCAATGGTAATTGTGGTAGTGGTCGTGGTCATTGTTGTGGTTGTTGTCGTTGATGATAATGGTGAGTCTAATTCTGATTCTGGTTTTTCTTCAATTTCTTGTACAGTCACCTTTGTTCGGACTTGAGGAATTGGTTTTTCCGATTTTTCGGGTTTATCCAATTTTTCAACCGTTACCACAGCAGTTGTGGGTATTTCAACATTTTCAACGATTTCGACCGTTTTGACTATTGATGGTTTTTCAATTATCATGGATTTTTCTCCTTTTGAAGATTCAATTGGTTTTTCATAATTCGCAACTTTTTCGGGTTTGGACGATTTTGGTGACGATTTTGCTGATTTGTCTGTCACTTTTTTGGTAACATTTTTAACAGCATCGGCAACAGCCATGCCAGCCAAAATCGGTGCACCAACAACGGCCATCAGACCCAATTTAGCTGCTTCTTTAACATTAACCTTCTTGCCAGTGGGCTGTTTAATTTCACCCGTTTTTGCATCGATCAAACCAACTTTAACGCCATCTTCTAATGTTTGAGCTTTACCCGATCGTACATCAAATACAACCGATTTACTATCAATAATGCCTTCATTCATTGCATCACTAAATGTGACCAAACGTTTTGGATTCTTTGGATCACGGAATTGTTTGGTTTTTTCATCGAATATTGTATCGACGGCCTCTGAAAGAGTCATCGATTCAGTTTTAGATGTTCCTTCGCTTTCATTATCACTGGATTTATCATCAGTTTCAAGAATGCCATCGCTAACAGCTTGTTGAATGGGCATTATTGCACCAGACGATGGATCCGTATACGTTCCAGCTTTAATATCAACCAGACCACGTCTGATGGCATCAGAGAAATTCACTTTTATTTCTCTCGTTGCATACTGTTGACTGGTTTGACTTTCATCTTTAATAATACCCTTTTCTTTGGCTTCATCGATCGAAAGAATTTTGCCCGTTTGAAGGTGTTTTACTTCATTTGGCGATACAAGTACATAGCCGCCCAGCAATTCAACCATTTTTGTTGTAATTGTGTGATAAGATGTTACAGTTTCAGTGACCGAAGTATGCGGTCCAGATGAATGCAATTGAATCAATTCGGGCAATGGTTTAACCACCAAAACACCATTTTCAATTGCTTCCGAAACGGGAAGAATTTCAGAAGTATTTGGATTTTTAACGGTACCCGCTGTAAAATCAATTAAATTCGCATCAAGTGCATCGGAAATATTAATGCTATCAACGTTTGGTGTGTAAGGCAAAGCCATAATTGTATTATTCTCAATGGCTTGAAGTAAAGGCACACGTTCACCACTAATTGGATGTATGAATTCATTTGTTTTCGGATCAATGGCATCTTTTTTAATGGCCACAGCCAATGTCATGCCCAACGGTGGCATATCAATTGATTGGCATTCTTTATCGACGGGGAAGGTTTTCTGTTGAATGGCAGTAAGTAAATCGACTTTGCCTTGTTTTGCTCTTACTAAACAATTTTCATCGTCAACGACACCTTTTTCGATAGCATTTTGAAGTGTAATCGTTTCGTTTGTATATGGATCAACAACATGCGACAGAGGATCAACAATTTCACAAATAATTGCTTCGCGTAAATTTAAAACCGTACCCGTTTCGGGATGAATAATTTTCAATGATTTTGGATCGATTAAACCTTGTTGCTTGAGCTGTGCAATTGACAAAGACTTGTTAAGTGGTACTAAAATTTGATTTGTACCATCGGAATCGAGAATGCCACGTTCAATGGCTTTGTTTATTGTCAAAACATCGCCACGTTGTGGATCGACAATTTTTCCCGAATTTCCTTCAATTTTATCGGCTTTGACAACATCTGAAAGCGATTGAATTTCGCCATTCTCATCCAAAAATACTTCTTTCGATTCTAATGCTTCGGCTGTTTTTTGATCGATTATACCTTTTTCAACCGCATCTTTTGGTCGAACAATTTTTTTACGCATTTTTTGCAAAACAATTGGTTTTGTTTCGCGTTCTGGACTCGACGGACTGCGTCCAAATGAAACTGTATATTTTGTCTCGGCGGCCGTATGACTTGGTGAATATGATGGTGAAACGGCCAAAAGTTCTTCTTTTGAAATTAAACCACGTTCATAAGCGATTTCATAGGGAATTTGTTGACCCGTTTTTGGATCGAAAAAGAATTTCAACGAATCAATGGCACCAGCGGCCGCAACCAATGGCGAACCAATGACCGCCAACAAACCAAGCTTCGATGCATTTATCAAATCGATTTTATTATTTGATGCATCAATCACTTGACCCGTTTTACTATCAACAACATTACTTTCAATCGCTTCTTTTACGGTAAGTGGTGTTCCGGTCTTTGGATCGATAATCTTTACCATATTACTGTCGACCAAACCTTTTTCGACGGCCGACAAAATATTCTCCGATTGACCGGTTTCGGTGAAAATGACTAGAGCCGTTGATGGATCATAGATAATACCCGGTACCAATTGAACCGGTTCGGGACTGGGTATATCTTGTGATTGTGCTCGTGATTTGATCACAACATGAGATTGTTCGGGTTCATGTATAAACTGAAGGGTAGCACTTTTTTCATTTGATTGACTCACATTGATGGCATCTTCAAGAATGATTAAGCCTGAATCGATGGCCTGTTTCATGCCAATGAGTTTATTATTTTTCTTATAATTTCCAATCGGATCTAAAATACGTTTTTCAAAGCTACGTTTTACAGTGATCTTACGACCATTTGTTGGATCAATCACAGACACTGATTCTGGATTTATAATCTCTAACTGAATGCATTCTTCGAAGCTAACCAAACGATCGGTAGCTGTGATGTGGAACAGACCCGTCATTGGATCGAATAGACGTTTTTCGATGGCTGTTGATAGTAGCCAACCTTCTGGCGGCACTTCAAGAAATTGTTCAGTTGCTTGCATTGGAATTACTTTTTGTTCAACGGTTAAGAAATCCGTTGTTATTGTTTTCGTATCGAATTTCTTTTCAACTTTTGTTTCCGTATGGAATGTTGAGTATTCATTTGACGGTGTAGAAATTTCCGTAGAAAGACTACGCTTTTGTAGCGGTACTTGATGAATGGTTTTAGTTTTTTCAATTTTTTCACTCAATTTTTCGGGTTCAATGGATTTACGAACGAGCGTTATGGTCGAACGTGCAGCCGGTTTTGGAATGTTAACACTACTGGAATCGGGTAAAATAAATCTATGATTTAGGGCTTGTTGAATTGAATAAATTTTACCAGTATTTGGATCGGTAAATAGTTGACGTTTTTCATCAATGTAACCAAGTCGGACGGCATCGGTAAAGGTTAAAATTGTTTCAACTTGTGACTTTGGATTGACTTGATCATCAGTGTCATCAGTTATTGTGACATAACGTCGAATTGTTTTTGTCACAGTTTCTGTGGTTAATGTAATATTTAATAAACTGCTTAGCAATAAAGCACCTTCTGGTGTAATTAATTTTGATTCGATGGCCTGATCTAATGGTACAATGGCTTTTGTTTTTGGATGCAAAAGGAAACCAGATTTTGGATCGATTAAATCGTAATAAACCAAATCTAAAACGCATAATTCTTTGCCGGTGGCATCAAATACGCCAATTGGACGTTTGATCATTTCATAAAATTCGGGTCGAACAAGACCATTTTCAAGTGCTTCTTCCAATGGCACTAAATTCCCTTTGCCCGTATCCAATTGATACTGGCCATCTTTTTTCCGTAAAATATTCTTACTCAATGCCACATTCAGTGATACAAAATCATTTGAATGTGGTTCTTTAAAACCATCAATATTGAAAATTGATCGTTGTGAAACGGATGAAATAAGGCCACGTTCAACGGCATCCGGTATTGACATTTCTTCTTGTGTAATTGCATCACGATATTTACATTCGGGTAAAATGATACCTTCGTTCAGTGCTTGTGCCAACGTTATTTTATCGTCTTTTGTTTTTGTTACCGATTTTATCGAATCGTTATCAAGTACACCCACATTAATTGCATCGAGTATGTTTAATTTATTACGACGCGTTGGCGAAATAATCGCACCATTTTTCTCAATTAAATTCAAATCACAAACATCTTTCAATGTCATCGGTTTACCGATGAGCTGTCGATTCTTTGCTTCAATAAATGTTAGTTTTTCTTTTGTCACATTTTGCATATAACGTCCGGTTTTTGCATTTAAAATGCCCGCATCGAGTGCTTGTTGGATTGTTATCTTAATATCGTTCTTTGCATCAACAATTTCACGTACATGTGGTGTTATCAAACCATTTGCAATGGCCGAATCCAAACGAAATTTATCGCCAGAATTGCGATCCATGACCCAGCCACTTGTATCGACTAAACCGTGCACAATGGCATCCGTTAAGCACAATTCGTTTGGTTTGATTTTAACACTTTCGTTGTGTGTAGTCACCGTATAACTAGCGGTGCCTACATCATCATCATCATCATTCGCATTTCGGGACGAGGATGTGGTCGTCGTTGTGGTTATTACCTTAATACGTTTTTCAGTTGAATCGTAACCATTTTCAGCTTCGGATATTTCACGTTGTATCACCTCGAGCAAACTGATCGGTTTACCGGCATGGAATGCGGCACCCGGCTGCAATAAACTATTTGCCAACGATGCATCGATTAAATTCCGTTTGATTGCCTCTTCCAATGTAATTCGTTCTTGATTCACAACAATTTCACCCGTTCGTACGTCCAATATTCGCGACTGTATTGCCTCGCCAATGGTCAAAACACGTCCCGAATTTGGATCAATCACACCTGGCTTATTCAATATATTGCCTCTTGGCTCAATTATCGTGTTGCCATTGTCGGTTGTATCACTGAACAAACGCTTAACATCCGTTTGCAACGTTCTTGTCGTTGTAAATCTAAAATAAAACGAAACGAAAGGGATCAGTATACATTTGAGCATATAATTCAAATAAATCATCCAGAACTGTTATAGGCACATTAACAGCTCTGAAATCATTACGAAAAGAAAAAAATATGATAATATCACTTACTGTGATGTGCTGTACGATGTTGTATAAACATCCTCATTGTCATTATCGCTCTGAGGTGTATTGCCAATGACAAACTCTGATCGATAAGTTCGAAGCGGTTCGCGTAAACTTTCCGCATAACGCTATAGAATAATAAATTTTAAAAAAAATTCAAATTTAATGAAAATTGCAAACCCTCTTTTAAAGACAAACAAACACATTCGATCGAACATACCAAAATTTCGTAAGCAAAATTATATGCTTTCTTATTTTGCGCATTTTCTTCCATTTTGAATGTTCTATTTTGCGCTTACGCAAATTATAGTGCAATTTTTGTACGATGTTATGTTGTTGGTTTTGTTTTTTGTTCACTAAATTTGCCACTTAATTTCTTACATAATTGGATTTTATTTCGAGTTTCGTCGATAAAATAATACTGAGCTGTTGTAATGATTCAGTGAATATTTAGAATTAGATTGATTTTTTTTTGTATTGCAAATTGCACCGAACCAAATGGGAAAAAAGAAAAAAAATGCCGGCCGCCTACTCTTTGCCGAACAACACAAAATCCGAATGATTCGAATAAATTCATGCGGAAATATGTGCCGACAAATTGTGCATTTCACTAAGGAAAATAGCTCACGCCCAAAAAATCACCGATACCGTCACAATCATTTCAAAAACGACCAACTTGAGTTCGGACTGAAAACCAACGATGCCAATCAACAATACCGTTTTGCTACTTGGATATTTATTTCGTTTCATGATTCAATAAATTATACATTTTTTTCATCCTATTTATGCCATGAAAATCAATAACTATTTCGCAAAACAACGTTAGTTCTCGAAATGGATGCGGCAACACACACTGAATTTTCTGAATAACAACCGTATGGTTCGATGGATTTTTCTTACTATAAACGTCAGTGTCGGCTGGCATATTCGACACATAGATAATCGTATTCACGTATATACCATTCGATATGTGTACATGTGCTGCGCGAACAAACTGTTTATTCGTCTGCACCGAATTTGAACAATGAACGACCAAAATCAGCTGTTCCTCTTTCTGTATGCGTATTTGTGCACTTTACTCTCAGTTGCCGCACAACGATTCGTATCGATGAAACAGCACCGATTAAATACTGTGTAAAATCACGTTATCGAATTTATATATGTATATTCGCAGATATATAACACTAACCTAATCCACTAGCAAATCGATTCTAAGTAAAAAATTCAAATTTATTTCGGTTTTATCTGTCTTTTTGGATGACACTGACATTTCTAGAATGTGATTTGCCGAAAAAAAAAATTCACATTCTCATTCTCTATTTGTTCATGATAATAAACAATGGCACACTGGATTGTTCGGTGTGTGTACATTTTTTTTTTCTAATTCTGTGCTATTGCGACTTAATCATTAGCATTAAATGCATTTGAATTGCAGTTCACCTCATGCACAAGGTTTATATCAAAGTACGCATTCAAAATTGCATTTTTATTTGATGTTCTCATCAGAAAAACAGTTTCGAAAAAAAAAACAACGAAATGTAATTAACTAAGAGTTGGTCTTGATTTGGCCATATTTGAACTAATTAAATGCAAATGTCACACAAATCGAAATGAAAAGTGGAAAACCAGTTTAAGAATTATCATCATTTGGACTTTTCAATTGTGTGCACAATCGATGCGTTTCAAGTTCTCTAAAGTCATTGTATACAGTCGAAATATGTGAGAAATTTCGGAAATTTCAGCAGCATCATTATAGACGATTTATGGATTTATGGGGGATTATGGGAAACACGTTTGACATAACAAGACGAAAACATTTCCGCTATTTGTTTGAATGAAACCGATCATATCACTACCGTTGAGTGGTTGTGAATAACCTTCAAAATAATAAAAGAAAAAAAAATTAACGACTTAGATGTGGCGGAAAAATGCGCTGCCACACAATTTCTGACAACCAATTGACAAAATAAACACATGTCGCTCTTAATGAGTAATATGACAATCTTTGATTTTGATAGATAGGTGTGTGTGTGTATGTGCGAAAGTGTTGATTGCTTGAAACTATGCAACAACAACAAAAAACAGTAGATATCCATTGATTTGGTTTAAAAAATCAATTAAAATGTGTTTTTACAAAAAAGTTTGTGTTTTTGTGACAACACCAAGGGATCATCCATCGGCAGGCATTATATGAGTTACGTCATTTTCGTTATGAATATCCGAATAGAATAAAAAAATCAAAAATTCAAAGAATATACCAACAACTAAATGTGCCGGATTTTCGATTGGTCTTTGCAAAGCCTTGACAAATACACTTTTACTTTCGAACGAAACATTTTTAACGAAAACATACGGTCGATTCTTTTTCACACATTTCAAGTGTGTATAGTTTTTGAGAGCGCCTTTTATTTCGCTGGTTTTTTTTTATATACATATTCTTTTTTTTCGGTTGTTTCGCGGCAAAACTATAAATATTCATGGCATCGTTAAATTCATCATTTAGCACTCACTCATACTTATTCTGTCTATTTTTTGACATTTTAAATATTCGGCATATCGTTGTGGGTCATTTTAATTTCGATTCGAATTTCAAACAAAAGAATTGCAATGAAACGATCTTCAAACTGGATTCATTCATATATTTATTTTCTGTCTCGATTGAGAATCTCAATTTGAGACGAAGAAAAATTGAGTCAAAATCGTAAAACAAATAGAATCAAACAATAAATTTATGAACGAGTGACACACTGCCCAAAAGTGATCGGAGTGAATTTCAAAAAAAATAGGTTGAGAAACGTTGTTTACTAATTGTGTTCGTTGAGAACGCGTTATTTCAACATTTTGCCTCAATAATTTCTTCGTCTCAAACAATTTCGGCACATTTTTCTATTCTCATTCATTTGGTTCGATCTTTTTTTTTTAAGTTCAACTTATTTATCGAATTGTAAACATTATTTAGATATCGCACATTATTTCACTTTATTTCCAGAATATAATTTGCGTTTGAGTTACGAAAAAAACCAAAACGACTACAAAGAAAACGACTAACAAACTGGCTTAAAAAAAAAATTAAGTAAATTTTTCGATTGCGATATATATTATACGGAAAACAACGGCTATCGGCACATGCGACACACAAACGATTATTATCAAACATCGACTGAAATGATTGTCGAACTGTGTTGAATGTCTAAGCCGACAACATCGTCGCATACAAACCGCTTTCGATTTTGCGCGTATTCTTCTCCTTTACAATTCCTGTTGTGTTGAATGCGTTCGATGTGTGTTTCTCAGAGAGTTGTAGACGATACGTGCCGATAATTCGTCGACGCATTCACTGTGTGTATGTTTCATACAAGAAATGTTTATAGTATAGTAAAAAAGTTTTGTCGTTTCGCCTAATAATAATCGCTTTGTGCTGTTGTGATTGCGTGTCTAAAGCTCATCCACGTTGGATATATGTTTTCTATCGAATTTCAGTTTCACACATTTAATACATCATGTTTAAATACAAATTTACACACAAAAACAAATAAACTTATTAATATAAACTGATAACGTTCGACATGCCGAAAACATTGTATATGTATGACAACCAATTAATCTGCCATGCAATTGTGATAACATGGCCTTTGGTTTCATTCGATCACATTGTTTATTTGCGGTGTAAGCAAAGCCATTTAAACTGCACGATTGTGTATGTCCGTTAATTGTGAAATAAAGCGAAAATAAGTGCAACTTCAATGTGGTTTAATACAAATCATTTAATGGGGAATTACGTCATTTTTTTTATAAGGCTGTTGTTAATGATTGACTTTTGTCCATCTGTCATGACTCGAGTGTAAATTTTCTTTTCATGTCAGATGCTCATCAGAATAATAAGCCGTTTGAAGGATATGCAAACTCAAAAAAGTCGTTCGATATTCTGTCATGTTGGTTCGGACTTTGGGCGGTGTTTCTTAGATCGCCAAATATCTCATCGACAAATGAGCACGTAACAGGGAAGGAGAGAGAGAGAAGGAGAAAACATGAACCTCGCAAAATTCAACGAAACCATTAACATAAAATGAACAGTCAAATAGTACTTGTTGACTTCAAAAAAGGAAAAGAATATGACATCATTCCTGTGGGGCTACTCGTCAATATACATGTATTATATTTGTTTACTATTTCAATGTCTTGTGTTTATTTTTTTCGTCTCGAAATTGGAGAATTGTGAAAACATACACCGACAACGATATTTGAAGAAGAAGAAAAAAAAAACCATACGAATGCTTAAAAACAAATGAATGAAATCATATTCGCTTGAGAATGTCTAATTCCCACTTGTGTGTTCATTTGAATAAATTGTGCTTAAAAACGAGTCTATGATGTAAACTTGATATATCTTTGGTTATGTCATTAAAACGAACAAATTCTCTTTCGAATGCATATACATTTATATCGAACGAATGTTGAAACGATGACCACATACAAAATGAATTCGACCAAAAACATCCTACCTTGGTCAATGCCATAAACGATTTGATTGGATCGAATGTGTTTGTTGTTTTGAATTTAAAAAAAAAAACGGCAAAAAATAACTTACCAATCCATCAGCACCACTGACTTCGACGGCGGTCTTCAAACGTTGTGACAATAGTTCCAGTAATCGTTGGAACTTTGTGTTAAGCGTATCAAGTCGTTCAGTGTACACTTCATTGGCGCCAGGATCTTGACCGGGCGGTCGTAGATCACGTCTTGGTGGTGAAAAACTGGGACGTGTTTCGACTAACCAATCGGTATAATGCAAACATTTTGTATCGTAGATCTGAACCATCGATGACGTTGATTGCATTCCATTTCAATTTTTTTTTGTTCGATTTTTGTTTTGGTTTATGTTTATTGTTTTAGCATTTTATTGTTGTGTATGTGTGTGTTTTTAGTAGATATGCGATGTTTTTTTTTGTTTTTATTGATATGTAATTAGATTTGATTTGTTTGATCAATTTAGATGTAGTTGTTTGCGTGTTTGGTGGGTTAAAAAATATATATATAGATATTAATTTTTTTTTAATTTTTCATTTTTCGAATGGTGCACAATATAGTTAAACTAGCTTAAATATATTTCCTCTATTTTTAAATTAAACGGTTAAAAGTCTCCAGACTAGTCCCTTCACTCAACTACTTTTTTTTTGGCGAAAAAATTAATTGGGTCAAAGATTAAAAAATGCGTGATCAAATCAGCGTAGAATTTTTATATGAGCACTACTAATTCTGGTCCATTAGGATGTGTGTATCGGTTAGAAAAGCAGTTTTCGGAAAATTAACTTTTTCGAACTTTTAAAAGTGGATTATAATTTATTGAATAAAAAAAACAGAGATTCGATTGAAGTTATCGAAAAAAACGAGTGACACATTTCATTCAATCGCTTTACATTCAGAATATAGAAACATTCATTCAGACATTCCAATCGAAAACCTCAACAATTCTGCGAATCACACACGTATAAAAACGATTCTCGCATTGATCAAAATGGAGATGCCTTTTTATTCTAATCTCATCTCGATTTCAAACGAAATCAAATGCATTTTAAACGTCGAATCACAAGAGAAAAAAAAACCTAATTCGATGCATGTTGATTATAAAAACAGCGACAACATCAAAACAGAACACCTTACATCTAATTAAACGTACCTTAGCTTCGCGTAACAAACGACCTCCATTCAAATTAACCTGTTCTATTTTTGGTGTGCGTTCAACAGCTTTTCCAAGTAAATCCTTTCGATTTTAAGAGAGAAAATGTTGTGCGTATGTTTTATTTCAAGTGAATGATGTTTCGGGCAGTTATTTTTTTTTTCGTACGATGATGTTGTTGTTTTTTGTGTGTGTGTTTGTGCGTTGGATTTATGTGTGTATGTTTTATTTTGTTTTTTCGTGTTGTGATGTTCGAACGCATCACGTGCAAAAAGTTATCCGATTTATTTTGTTTAAAATTATGATTGTTTATTTTGATGTTGATGTTGGTATTCGCGCAGGGTATGAGGATCAAATTTGGGGGAGAGGTGTATATGTGTGTGTTCATTGGTTGATTCATCAGCAATGGCACATTTTATTAGGACAAGTTTTTTTATATCGAATTTATTTAATGAATTCATTTAAATATTAAACCGTTTAAGTTTACACCGTTTTTTTTTGTTTAAAATCATTTTTATTATTGCAAGGGAATTCAGAGATTTCAGGTCATGGATGAAGGGCAGGGCAAGAGAAACGGGGGGAGACAAATTGAAAAAAATTTGAATTAGTAAAAAAATTACAAAAAATTAATCTAATCCTATAATGAAGTTAGTGCATCTACACTATCGTTAACCCAGTTTAATATAAACAATTTGAAACAAAAAATTGTTTTTTTTTTTTTAATTTTTTTCCCCAATTTTGTTAACGATAGCGTAAGTATACATGGTAATGGTATTTCGTTCATGTAGTCTCAAAACTTAAATCCAAATGTGTAGTTAAAAAAATTAGTGTAGAAACGCGTGTTGTTTGATTTGTGTATTTACTATTTTGGTTTTTTTTTTTTTAAATAATATTTGTGTGGTGTATTTTGTGTAAAAATAAAATTATGTTGGCTGTTGGTTCAAATCATATATATTGTGCTTTATCAATCTCAAAATTATCGATGGATGCTACGTTTGCTTGCATTTATTTCACAGTGGCAGTTGGCAGTTCAAATTTTAAGTATAGTAGTAGAAATGATACATACAAAAATTTGCTATACATTTTCATTCAAATGCAAAAAATACAGTTCCATTCAAGTATCGTATTTACGTCTCGGGCTTTTTTGAAAGTTGATTTTTGTTTTGTTTTGATTGAAGATTGCTCAAAATCGAGTTTTTTTTTTTAAATTTAATTTTCACAATACCTTTCTCTTTTTAACCTGCTGAAATGATTAAACTGATTTCGCATGTGATCCAAATTTCATGTTCCGTATCCACGGATATTTTTGACGTGAGTCAGCATTTTTTGGGCTGAAATCCATGTTCAAAGTGAAATTGTTTTTCAAGAAAAAATTTATACATAAAGAGCTACAACCAAAGCCCAAAATATAAATTCGATTAATTATTAGCGATACGATTAAACAAAACGTAAACGTACGAATATAATAAAACATGGAACAAAATCTACTACTTTTTGGGGGGTTAAATTCGAGGGAAAAATATTGCTAATTTCTCTCTCTCTCTTTCTCGTCATTTCCATGGTCACGGGGGAATCAGAAGACAGACATGTGAACTGTGTGCGATTCAATAATGACATTGCAACAATTGTGAATTATTTGCAATTAAATCATGTTAAGGATCTACTGAATGATTACGTGTTGAGTGTGTGTATGTGAGGGGTGGTGTGAAATTTAGCTCATTTCAAATTTGTCGAAAATTTGATGGGTGTGTGTTTGAGAGAGAGAGATTTCATATTTTTGGTTTGTTATTTGTTTATCCCATTACCACCGATTTTAAAATAATTACCTTTTATGTACAAAACAGGGCCAACAATGGCCCCATCATCCACGATATGTACAAAATACATATTTGAACGAAACAATAATACTAATAATATTCAATTCCAACTAAATAAATAGCAACCATATCGTTTGGTTGGTGTATTGCACAATAGAAATAACAACAAAATTTATCCAACAGAACATTGATTGAGAAAAAAGGAAAAAAATATTGACTAAATAAAAATGTTCAACTAAAAAAAATCAGTTCTAAAAAAAACATAAAATACACAAATACTGGATCAATAAGAAAAAATATCAACAACACAGACAAAGAAGATTTCTATAGATACAGATATTCTGTTTGCGATTTTGACGAATACACAATTGTGAAATGATTTCTACATGTGTTTTTTTTCTTTCGTGGAGCTAGCTAATTATTTGAATAAGGCGATAGAAAAAAATATATCATACAAAATAATGATACTATAGAGACTTTGTGTCGATATGAACAGACATTTTGAAGTGTCATCAATTGGGGATTTGGTGAATTTTGTGAATGGTTTTTCATTACATTGGTGAATGTATAAATGAAATATGATAAATGAGCGTGTACTTACATCGAGTTCAAGGGCTGATGTTGCTGTTGGTAGTGCTGATAGTTTTTCAGTGGCACCATCCACCCAAGTTTCTTCGGCGGCAAGGCTTGTTTGAAGTTTTGTCATGATTCCGATGGCATTTTCGCAACCAATCAATCTGAAAAATCCGAGAAAAAAATTCTATATTCAAATGACTTTTCGACAAAAAAAAAGATGCGAATATTACCTGTCAGCCAACTGAGCCCGGATGTTATTCCAGCGAACATTCAATCGTTCAACATTTGCGTGCAAACGTTTCAAATCGTTAATCACCTTTGTTGGTACGCCCATACGACCCAATTGATCGGCCGAATCATTCATTTTATCGATTTGTGGTTGTTGTTTTGTAACCTTATCTTGTAATTCATTCAATGTCTTCAACACCGATTGAAGGCCCTCCAATGTTGATGGCATTTCTTGTTGTCTAGCCAATGCTCCCTCCAAATCGGATATGACCTGTTCATTTTCTTCTAAACCGAACAATGCTTCGCCCAATAATTTCAAACGGTCACCGTGTAGGCCATTTTGTGTATTCAATTCCTTCCATAATTCCACCAAATTGTCCAAACTCTTTTTCAATTGTGGTGTTTTCAATGTGATCGTACGGAATGTATCTTGCAAATGCTTTAGTTCGGGCTCAAGATTTTGCAAACGACGACGATAATCTTCATGGATTTGAACGGCATGCTCATGCGAATCCAAATCACGTGGCAATGGTGACAATATTATGTGATCCAATTCACGAGCCATATCTTCCAATTTATTCTTCAATGCAATACATTCTTCGGTGAAAATGCGTGTTGCTTGCTTACTTTCCTCTGCAGAAAAAAAAATTGAAACGAAAAAATTAAAAACAAAAAATTGTTGAAAATGTTAATTAATCAAATCTACCTCGATTCGAGCTAGAGCTATTTGATCGAAATATTTTCCGCATTTTGTATTTTTTTGGTTTCTTGTTAAATAAGAAATGATGTACACCAAGCGAAGAACAAATAAAAACTAAATGAATATGAATGGAATTTATTCCGTCGAAGCGAAATAAAATTCGTTTTTAATTTTGGCGCTATTGAAAATCGATTAAAATCCATTTGGAGCATTTTCATTATTTGCCAATTTGTCAGCATTGTCTCAGTCTCAGTGTCATTACAACATAAAAGCATATTTGCTTCAATTAATTGATTATAACGGGATGTGTCAATCCCTTGGGCTTGATTTCTCAATATCACAAGAGCATGACATCAACGATTGAACACCATGAAATGTGTGGCAATTCAATTCGATCTAGCCACAATCATTGAGTGTCATAAGATCGTGTGTATCGATGCACTGTCTGCTCATTTGTTCTCGTTTTTCGGGTAGAAATCTCCCATTTGTGCTAAATAAAGTGATTGAGCCCACGCAAAATATTTAATCGAATATAATGAATAGCTTAATTGAGACATGGCATTGGAATCGATTACACAAACAAAACAAAAAATTGTGTAGTGTAATATAATTTTAAATTAAAACTCTAAACATAATCGATAATCAATTGGTTTGAATGGGTTAATTACTCGTTCATTCCCTATCCTTCACTTTGGCTTTAAACTCAATTCATATTGAAAAAAAAAATTACCTTCGGCTCGAGCTCGTTTCTCGAAGTCGTCAAACAATTTATTGACTTCATCCATTTCGCGGCGTAAGCGTCGTAGCTGTGGATCAGCTGGATCACCTTCAGCCAGCAATTTATCGGCATCATCATTCAAAGCACGACGAATTGCATTACGTTGATCGGCGCCCATTGCCAAAAATTGATCGAAATCCCAACCTTTGACCACTTTAATGGTGGCAAAAATCATATTTTGTCGCAAACGTAATTGTTTCTTCTGCCATAATGCAACGGTACGATCGAATAAGCGTTTAAGACGTTCGGCAGCATCGATTGCCTCTTGATCGGGTGGTGGCAATAATAAACATGCACCCGGTACCGGTCCTTCTTGACCATTTGCACGTACACGCCATTTAACGCGACCCGATGTATCGATCAATGTACAATTTTCACCCTTTTCAAGTGAAATATTGCCTTGTTTGTAGCCACAAATTGCCTGAACTGGTATTTGACGATTTACTGGCTGTTTGCGTTGTTTTAATGGCACTATGGTTTGAGCACGTTGCTGCAGTAGATTCACCGTTTCACCAAATACATTCAATTCTTCGCGCAAATCTTGCATACCGCGCAACAATTGTTCACCTTCATCCAATCCGAAGTTCGATTGTGAGTATTTCGAGTTTAAGATTTCGTCACGTCTACAGAGAAAGTGTTCAATTATGATTTTATTAGATTGTTGTTGTTTTTCAACAAAAGATTTCATTGTTAAACTTACTTTGTAAGCCAGGCTTCGGCATCTTTAATTTCAGAGAAGAAGTTATGGTATTCAGTGGCATGTTTCAAATGCACTTCTAAGCACAATGTGAGTTGAAGCAACCAAGACCATTGCGATTGCAATGCCTGTAAGTGAGCTTCAATACATTTGGCGGCTGGATGTTGTTGCACCAATAATGCTTCGCCACGGTCCAAAATCGAACTGAAGTGCAATTCACGCTTCTCCAACTCTGACATCAAGTTCTGTAAAAGCAAAAGTAAACAGATCCGAAAATTACAATATAATCGATGGAAACACCTATACACAATCATGCTGGACTATTTTCTAAACTAGAATACATATCAAATACAGGACAAGCGTTTGGATGTAACTTTGCATTTTTTTTCTACTCTTTCAAATGTCTTTACAAATGAAATCACTTCTAGCTACATCATTTTTTTTACTCACATCCTCTCCACTCCCAAAGTTTCGCTTGAAAATTTTAAGAAATTGAAATTGTTAGTGTTAAATGTTAAATTTTGAAACATTGGTTCCAAATTCGATTTCTACTTGATTTGTTAGTATTTTTAGTCATTCTATATTTACTATTTAGTAGTTACAGAGCTGTTATAGGCACCATGAAGGTGCTGACACTTTACATGTAAGTGCTGCTCTTTCTTATATTCACTTGAAAAATGATATGAAATGAGTGCGGCTACTAGTGAGTGCCTTGCAGCTCTCTGGTGCCAATAACAGCTATGATTAGATGAAATGAGTTTCTTTTTTTTCGATATCAACTTACCTCATAGTATCGATGAATGCCTGGTAAATCGAGGTCTTTGGCGGCCCAATCACGTTGAATTTCGACTTGTTCGCGATCGTTTAACCATTGTAATTCGGCGCTGGCTGCTTGCAAGAAATTTTGTAATGCATCCAAATCCGAAAGTCGTTTCGTTGATGTGCTCAATAGTTCAGCGTATACTTTTTGCAATTGACTAAGACGTTGCTGATAGAGATTCAATTCATCTCCGGTAAAATTGACTTGTTGTCGTTCGGCATGATTCACCTTCGAATGGAAATTCCGTATGGTATGATCCTCTTGTTGATGACGTTCCAATTCTGCTTTAACCGATGGCAAATCCGAACCATAATCGGCTGCAAGTAGTTCTTTCAATTTATTTTGGCACCATTCCGTGTATTCTTGTAAATCACGGAAATATGGATTAGTATCAATTTGACGTGCTTCGATTACTGTACGTGTTTGTTTTGTAACAGTTGTTTCTTGGACGGGATAACGTAAACCGGACAGTTTTTGCACCAAATTTGTATGGAATGAGGCACGAAGTTGTGACCAACGTTTATGTAAATTAGTTACTCTGTAACATTCGAAAAAAGAAGAAGAAAAGAAAAAAATTGTTAGAAGACGGATGGGTGATGAGGGTACACAATGTACTTACTTTCTTTGTAAATCACTTGCTTGTGGATAGCGTCCATCTTTAAGCACCAAACAATCTTCATTCATTTCCTGGATGGGCGTTTCGAGTTGTCGAATTTCAGTTTCGAGAGCTTCGCAAATGTTCTTTGCATCGATTGGATGAAGACGTTCGATGCGTCTGGCTTCTTCGGAGATTCGTTGTTCAAGTTTGGTAATATGGGAATCAGTGCGTTTAATGTCACGTTGCAATTTATCGGCCAAATTTTGTAAACGTTCTAAACGTTGAATTTCTTGTTGGAGTATTGTATCACGGTCAACAATAGCCGATTGCAAACGATGCCATGCCTTTTCCAATGACTCAGGCCGTAGGTCTGATTCCACCTCAACTTCACCGATTGATTCAAAGTATTTCTCCAACTCTTTGTATACTTTGAATAGATTTTGTTTATCGCGTTGTCGTGGTGGCACTTCTTCATTACGGAATCGATTTAAATCGTTGTACGAACGCTTTAGATCGAGCAACGTTGATGGGAACGAACGTTCCTGTAATAATGATGTCTTTTCACGGCACCAATACAACAATTGATGGGCAAGATCTTTGTATTCGTGGACCCGTGTCTGTGAATCCATATCATACAATGGATGCAATGATGGTGGCTCAGGGAATACATCATACAATGAACTGAGGTAAGTGATCATTGATTTCTCATCCGGCTCATTGGTGTCCACATCTAAATGGAAAGAAACACAGGAAGTTAGAGCATTCGAAGGAGCAAAAAGAAACATTGTCACACAATGATATTTTTTTGAATGAAAGAAAAATGGATCGTATTGTCCATTTTAGATATAAACATGCACGTTTCACATGGTTGATTATTGGCATTTTTTTGTTCAAACCTAGCTCTAGTACAGGTAGAGGTATCATCGATGATGGATTTGTGTTTTTGTTTGCAACCAATCGGTTGGTCGAAATTCATTACGGTGCGCGATGTGTAAAACATTGTGTAAGTGTGTATATATGTGATTATAATCACAGTTTCAAATGCCAAAATGCAAAAGTGAAAAACGAAATTATTTCTTTGCACTTGAGTGAGTTCTCGCTTCGGTTAGAGACGCTTCTCGGATGAGAGCATAAAGAACCCAACGATTCAACAAAAGCTAACACAAACAAACATTGAGTTTGGTTGCTAATACGGAAATTCGCCTAAAATGAAGACACAGTCATGAATAAATCAATAAATCAACAGTGCTAACGAATATACGGTCGTAAGATAGCGAGGAATGAGAAAAAGAAAGGGAGGAAGAGACCGATCGAAATAAGACAACAAACAATAACGCTTGTTTCAATGTGCAAATGTTTTTGTTATCGCCATTGTTCTCTTGTTCTCTTACCAAAATTTCAAACGTGAAACGAAATAAACAATTTTGATCTGAATGTGTAGTTAATTGAATGGAACCACTTTTAGCAGCAGTTAAATGTGATGATTGAATTAAACGACGCTTAGATACATTTTTTTCGATCTTTTTTGTAATCGTCTTTATTCTCGTCTCTTCGAAATTTGCTCGTCTCTTCGCATAATGTGTATATATTTTTTTAATTAGCAGAAAACATCATGAAAAAATTGAAGCAATCATGAAAAATCCAACAGGAAAGTACTGATCAGAGTTGTTACAGGCACCGAAAAGGTGCGCGCACATTTTTTGTAAGTGTTGTTCTCTCTTGTGTTCAGGTGTGACACTTGAAAAATTATATGGAATACGGCTGTGCCCACAACAGCTGTGGTACTGATAGATTTTTTAAAAAAGCACATAGATTGTTCCTCTAATGAGGAGCTTTTCCACAGCGAAACAATCCCAGAAAAAGAGAAAAACAGTGTATTCCTTACCTTCTGGATCCAAGAGTCGTGTAACTCCGTATTCTTTTTCAACAACATGGAATGCGGTTTCTAATCGTTCACGTGGTCGAGCTGATCGTGCTTTTCGCCAGTCAAGCAAATCAGGTCGATTGCGATGGATCAGCGCTGAAAATGCCAAACCATCACGCCACGATCCAGTGAAATCATTAACTCGTACACCAGGATAACGAGCTGTTGAGCGTCTAGCCCATCGCAACAATGCTTCTCGTGCAGTCACATTGTCATCTTGTCCGACAACTATATCCGATATCTAAAGATACAAAAAAGGAAACACAAATTAATTAGAAAACATACATATAGAAAAGAATGGCTGTGTTTGTTATTAATTTAATAATCATTGAATTCAACCAACATCTTTTGTCGAGAGATAGAAAGAGCAATGAAAATATTTCATATTATTTTAATAAATACTGGTAAAGAAATCATTATTAATCGAATTATCATTTATTCAAAATCAAGTAGATCATAATTAAAGGCTTGTTAATTCGTCGCATATACCACGATACGTAATTAAAGTGCAAACCAAACACAACTAGAGAAAAAAAAAACGCACAAAATCCAAGACGACAAGGAGACTGGCAACAACGAAAAAATGCCGACATTTTTATTAAGTTAAAATAATGAAATAGAGTGAGTATACGAATTCACCTAACTAACTACTGTCACTTAATTACATGACCGTTTCGAGTAATCACGTAAATTCATTAAAATGCTCGTTTGCTTAAGTACTTTTACATTGATCGAGAGAATACTAGCAGAGTGTGCGTTGTGCACATTCATTCAGCACCTTTGAACAATTAGCCATTCAGTGAAAAAAAAAAACGGCGTTCGAAACATATTTTTTCCTCTAATAAACACACAAAATCAACAATTGTCAACATTTGCATCTAATGAGAGAGATCATTTTTGTTTTTCATTATCCACTTGTTTGGTGTGCCGTTTTTTTTGCATGTATATGTGCGGCGCTGCTTTTTTCCACATTGTTTTTGGAGGGAAACAACGAAATTTATTGAATAAATTCAATTGAAATTGGGGTTAAGGCTATGTTGACGGTCTATGTGATCATCCTTTATTTTAGCCTATTCACAAAAATGTTCAACATAAAATGGATTTATTTTTGCGCTTCTTTCGGAAAAAAATAAAAATAAATAATATGTTATTATGCATGTACACGAGCGAATAAGACAAAAGTCCAATGGCGCTACCTGTTTGCTATAGACCATTGTGTTGTGAATGTTAATGCATCATTCCGCTACATATATTTTTCATTCTGTGTTTTTTCTTCTCATTTTGCTCATCGCAAACAAGTGAATCATTTTTCACAGTGTAAAGTCGAATATTCATTGCATTTGGTGGCAGTGCAATACATTTTGTGTAACGTAAAAGTCTGCTTGTAAAAATTGTTGTTATTTCTACCGAAATGGTAATAACCAGTTGCGCTTGTTTATTGAGTCTGCACTTCATTTTTCATTGGGTCAAATAATATTCGTTGATGTTGTTGTTGCTGCCAAAGTCGAGAAAATCAATGGATTTTTTTTTCGTTTTTCGTATGTCATTCACGACGAGGAACACATATTTTCGAAAGCAAAAACGTCGGTACAATGCATAATTTGATAATTGTCTGAAATTGTTCTATTATGAACAAAAACACCAATAATTTGATCACACGAATAAATCGATTAATTAATGGTTTCGTGATCAAATGCATTATACTTTACTAAAAATGCCTGTCCACTCTCATATGCAACCGCATGGAAATGAACATAAATCAATAAATATAAGTGCTTTTATTTATGTTCGTAATTCAATAATAATAATTCATTTGTTGGACGATGACGCCATCCGTCATCTGTTTGTGTATGAGTGTATTTCTTCGGTTTCTTTTCATATTCGGACTGAAGTGAAGACGATTGTTGTTGTTGCTTTTTTATTGGTGTGAACATTTCTTTTCGTGTCGACGTTTTTTTTTCTTCTACCGAACTGTAACGCCGAATGACACTCATTAAATCACCTCTTGCGGGTAAATACACTTGAACACACCAGTCATTATTGGTGATGAATGGCAGACGCTTTCGGTCTAAGAGAACAATGAAATATCCGAAACATGTCATAATGAATTGTGTGGAGACATGGTTGACGTGGGATGTGAGATCATTTTTCGAACGCATTATACACTCGAAATTCATTTTTATTTACAAAAAATAAGCGATATTCACCGCAAATATTCGTGTAATCGCTTGCGATGACAAGTTAGCGCCCGTAACGACTTCCAAACATAGCACATAAAATAGACTTTTATTTAATGTAAATTTCATATGAATAGCGCGTCATTTTCAAACTGACAATGACTTTTTAATTTATATTTGGACTGATATCATGCATATTGAATGCCATGTGTACGAATGTGTGTGTGTTCGTTGCATCCAAATCACGTATCAAGGGTGCACTTCTCTTAAATTATGACTGCTTGCGGTTTAATCATTTCAATCCATAAATGGATTTGTGTATAAAAAAAATACAAATTTTGCATGATTTTTTTTTTTTTTCATTTTGCTGAAACGAATCCAACAACGGATAAAAAACAATAATTATTAACGCACGAATTGTTTTTGATTCGGCATTTGCCAACGGGAAAATCGGCGTTGAAAAGACGCGTGCATTGAATTGGGCCAGCAACATTATTTGCGGTTTTTACTCAATGAATATTTAAATGTGATGCAAAGAAAATGGAATTAATCTCGAAAATACATTGTTGAAAATGACATAAATCAAGTGAAGAAAACAATATTATTATTTTTTATTGTATTTTTCAATGAAAATCAAAATGAGTAAGAGGGCGTGAGTCGAATCTCCAAAAATCCAAGAATGGTGTTGAATGAAATTAAGGAAAAGGTCGACAATGTCATTCACGATCCATGTAACTGGCAAATAAATCATTATCAGAGCAATAAATTTGAAGGATGAATTGATGTTTTTCGCACATTGAAGTAGACCAGAAGAGTTAAAAGTGTGTGGTACGACGAGACAGAAATTCTTTGCTGAAAAATTCAAGTTGCAATCGATGGCGCGAATTGCAAATGTTTGTCGTCACAACAACTCAATACAACACAGTGCGTGTTTGTGTGTGTTTGTGTTCTTGTTACAGACGGGCACGATTACAAATCTAAGCAATTCCGAATGTTGTAGCATTTAATATGATTTTTTTCTTTACCTAAAAATGGTTGGATCAATGACATGAATTAAATATACACATAATTTACCCACATTTTGTTGTAATGAAAACCATATTTAAAAATTGAAAACAGAGCGCAACAGAGACGACTGGCGTGCATCAGGCACGATTCATTGAATGGAAAACGAGCAATGTAATGTGCGACAGAGACAAAAGACACCAAAGAGTCAGAAGTCAGAACCGAAAACAGACATATGATTCAACGTTTGTGTATTTCAACATTTTTAGAATTGAAAAATTGTGTGTCGCATGTCCAAATGAGATGTTTATCGGAAAAATAATCGGAATGATGTACGTTTTGGTCCAGGAATACCGCTGTTTTGTTTTGTTTTGCTTCATTTAAAATAGTTCAATCATCGAATTGATCGTGTCTGGGTGGCTGAAACTATGTCTATGTTTTATAATAAATATTTGTGTCAATCATTATATGAGATTTAGATAGGCGACAATTGGTATGGTGTACCTTTTCGTCGTGTGATGTTTCGTAATGATTATTCGCTTTAAATGAAATAAGACAAAAGGGCAGCTGTTGTCATTCAAAGAGATGCCCATTTTTGGACAATTCCCATTACATTTTGATGGGCAATTACGGATGGCGGTAGCGCCTTCAAGCCGACCCAAAAAAGAAACACACAGATCCAATACAAAGAAAGACGAGAAAACGAAAAATGGCGTTTATCTTTAGTGTAAATTGGTTGCCCGAAATGAAAGCAATACTTGAGATGAAAAAAAATAGCAATCGACCTGAAAATTTGCTCAATAATCACGTCCAATGCACAATGACACTGGTCCATGGTTGCAATCAATTCGGTTGAAGGTTTGTTTTCCTTTGAATTTCCCATCGATCGAATTGCAAAAGAACCTCAAAATAACTCTTGCCATTTTGCGGAATGCTTTTTGAATAAATGATCTCATTTGAGTTTTTTTTTTTTCAATAAAACATTGCTGGCCGAACTTTCTTCGATTTAAATCAAAAAGTAAATTGAATTTAAAAAAAAAATCCAAGCCAAGAATGAGAGCAAGCAATTTATCATGAATGCTTATGATTGTTTCGATCGAGTTCCGTGCTGGACACGACGTAATTAATTGTTTATATATAAAAAAAAATAGGTGATTGTGTGTGCACAACTACGCGACAATTCCATTTCAATCGAATATGAAAGTCAGTGGGTTGAATTTCAATGTCATCACCTCGATTCAATTCTAAGCCAAGACAATCTTTTTATATGCATATATTTATTTTTCCATTTCTGATCATAAATATATTCCCGTCGATATTACCACTATGGATATTATAAAAATAATCACCCTATCTCGAGCCAGTCGGCGTGTAAGTTTATTTTTTTTATTATCGCATAATATGCAGACATGTTTTTCGATGGCACTGAAATTGAAATCAAGCGGAGTGATGATGATGTGTGTGTGCTCTAGTGACCAAGTATTGATTTTTGCGCTTTGCCCACACAACAAATTCCGATCGCGATTTTCTACTACGATTTCTTTTTTTTTTTCTTATCCCATTCATAACAAAGATTTTTGTGTGAGAGAAGAGCGCTTCAAACATATGTTTCATGTTTCACTGCTGTACACGCACATACGCTCACTCGTTTCATTCTAACAATGACACTACAAGAAATGACAATGTCAATTGATCGATTAAAGACCAAGTTTTATTCGAAACAAATTTCGTGCTTTTTATTGCAATAATAAAACCGATTTCATTCGAGACGTGTGTGAAAGTCAACACTCCATTTTTTTTTCTTGCAGCAATAAAACGAAATTCAATAGAGATTTTTGCGAGATTTAAATTTCAAATTGAAAAACATTCATTGGATCATTTTGTAGCGAATAAAAATAACAATAACAGGCAAAAAAACAAAAATAATAATAATAACAAATGTGAAAAAAAGGCAATGTGCTTAAATTTGGCCAAAACATTGAAAATACGTGCTAATGATTTGCCACGAATGTTCATTATGGTCAGGCTTAGATTTCGTTTTTATTTTGTGTGCCAAATG